AGAGGTTAAATGAATTGTCCAGGATCACACAGCTAATAAGTGGGGACTGAGATTTGAACCCAGGTGTGACTGATACTAAACTCCTGTTTTCACCAAATGCATGAAGGTGCCTCCCAAACTTAGAGATGACTCAGCAAAGGCCCCTCTTTTTACAGCTGGCGAAACTGAGACACAGAGAAGGAAGTGACTTCCCAGCATCAGACATTAGAACTCAAATGTCCTGGGGTCTTAGGCATGTCACTTCATTTTTTCAGAAAACACTACTATTTTTTCTGTTTTGATGATAGAATTGATGGTTAATACAGGGAAAGATTCACTACTTTCTAGCTGCACACTTGAGCACGTTCACTTTTCTGTGGCATCTTCTCTTCTTCCCCAAATGGGCATAAGGATGTTTCATTCCTCAAAGGCTTGAGGATTAAATCAGCATCACAGAGACAGCACAGTGCCTCCCATTTGCAAATGTCTAGTCCACATGACAATGACTGTCGTCGGTCTGGGGTCCACTGTGCCTCAGCTGCTGCTTCTCTGGGATGGTACCTCCTGCTTAACCAAACAATTAACTTATAAAATTAATATTTTAACATGAGCAATGACTAAGAGCCAGAGCACATGTGATCAAATATCAGCTTTGCCGCTAACCTACTACGCAACTTAACTTCTCTGTGCCTCAGTTTCCTCATATGCACACTGAGGATGATGATAATCCCTGGCTGGTGGGACATCATGGTGCCTTGGCTGGGGCTGCTTTACCTTGCCCACATCCACAGTGCCCACAACACCGCAGCTTGATCCATTTCTGAGCAAATCTGCATGGTGGCCTCAAGCCTGACACTGGGGCCAGAGATTTTAGCAAGAAGGCCCTGACATCACGTGACCAGGTATCATGGGGTGCTTGAGCACCCCAGCACCCACTCAGGACTCATACAGCCAGTCCCAACCTCACTGGACATGCAGAGACCTCAAGAACAATGCCATAACTGAGGCATGACTCCTGGGCAGGCTGGTATGGGCCCACACACCGTCCTGGGGTGGGGTCCAGGCCACTGCTCTGAGCTGCTTCCTGCCCTGCAGGGCTGAGCGAGCCCCCAGTTTCCTCCAGGAGAAAGACTCACCATCAGGAGAGTCGTGCATGAGCCTCCTTGCAAGTCACAGCCCAGTCCCCAGGAGAATGAAGGAGCAGGAGAGCATGTGTGCTAGGAACGGGAGGCCCTGGTCAACAAGGGGCGTCTCTGGGGTCAGCTCCAGGGGGACATACCCTCACGCTGACTATGGCTGTGAACAGCTACCGTCTCCTGAGCACATGCTATGTCCCAGATGCTGCCTAAATACTTCAAAAGCATCATCTAATATAATCCCTCAGCACTCCTATGAGGTTGCTAATATTACTGTCCCCACTTTACAGTTGAGGAACCTACAGGAATGAAACAACATGTTCAAGGTCACGCAGCTGTACATGGAGAGTCTGCTCCATGTCTCTGACTCCCACCAGCCTCTCACTTCTGCAGTGTCCCCACAGGCAGGCTGGTGGGCTCCCGGGAAAGCATTGCCTCCAGCATAAATATCCACACTATTTATTATGTCCCCCTTTCCTGATATCCAACAAGAGTTGAAGATGGATATTTATGAGTCACATTCCATCCTGGCTTCTAACTCATGTAGTTTGCCTTGTATAAGGCTCTACACTCTCTCAGCCCCAGTTTTCTCATTTTTTAAAAGAAAGCTATGGTGTAAGGTTACATGTAGAAATCAATAGAAAAGAATAGAGACCAGAAATACACTGACACATACATCGTCAATTGATCCCAACAAAGGTGCTAAGACAGTTCGGTGGGGGAAAGAATAATCTTTTCATCAAATGGTGCTGGAGTATCTGGATATCCACGTACAAAAATAAATAAACCTTGACCCATTCCTCACCCCATGCACTAAGCTTCACTTGAAATGTCTCATAGAGCCACATGTAAAGACTAAAAATATAAAACTTCCAGAAAAAGTAGGAGAATGTCTTTCCAACTTTGGGGCATGCAAAGATGTCTTTGAGAGAATGCAAAAAGCATGACCATAAAATAAAAAATTGATGAGTTACACCTCACAAAAATTAAAAACTCTGCTCTTAGAATACCATTAAGAAAATGAAAAGACAAGCTACAGAACGAGGCAGATATTAGTAATATATGTGTCTGGTAAAAGAATTGTATCCAGAGGGCTGGTTGGTTAGCTCAGTTGGTTAGAGTGCAGCCTCATAACATCAACGTCAAGGGTTTGATCCTCATACTGGGCAGCTGCCTCCCCAAAAAAGAAACAGAATTGTATCCAGAATATATAAGACAAATAACCCAATAAAAGCGGACAAAAGATTTAAACAAACACTTCCCCCAAAACATATGCAAATGGTCAACAAGCACATGAAAAGGTCCATCAGGAAAGTGCAAATTGAAATCACAGTGAGACACCACTACATGCCATTGGAAGGGCTAAAATCAAGGATCGACAATACCAGGTGTTGGGAAAAATGCAGAACAACCAACACTCTGCTGGTTGTTGGTGGGAATGCAACACTATACAACCAGTGTGGAAAACAGCTCTGCAGTTTCTTATGAAGGTTAATGCATACTTAACCTTATGACCCCACAATTCCACTCCTGATATTTTCCCCAGGAAAAATGAAAACATGCCTGCAGAAAGACCTGTACATGAATGTTCATAATAGTTTTATTTGTAATAACCCCAAACTGGAAACAACCCAAACATCCATCAATAGTTGAATAAATAATTGTGGTATATTATGTTTTATTCCATTTATATGAAATGGTTAAAAAATTAAAAAGGACAAAACCAATTTATAGTGACAAAAAGTAGATCAATGGTTATTTGGGTTTGGGGTGGTGGAGGTCATAAAGAGGCATAAACCAATATTGGAAATACTGTGTACTTTAATTGTACTGGTGGTTACACAAGTGTATATAATCATCAGAGCTCATGGAGCTGCATGCTTAAACCAGGTGCATTTTATTGTATATAAATTATTGCTGGATAAAGTTGATTTAACAAAAAGTAAAACTTTTTGTTTTACACATGCCTAAGATCCCCTGGCTGAAATTTTCTCATTAAGATAAAATTCATCTGTGATAACAAGTCTTCTTTTAGAGTAGGAATCTTTAAACTTTTTGTGCTATGGGCCTGTGAAACATGGACTCCTCCAAATAACATTTTTTAAAGAATGAAGTAAACTATATGATTTTAAAGGAAACCAATGGCTATGGTATAAATGTTCCTTTCAAAACTCATGTGGAAGCTTGATCCTCAATGTGGCAGTGCTGAGAGGGGGGGCCTTTTGGGAGGTGATTGGATCATGAGTGCTATGCCTTCATGAATGGATTAATCCATTCCTGGATTAAAGGATTAATTGGTTAATGGATAAGTGGGTTATCATGGGAATGGCATTTGTGGCTTTATAAGGAGAGCAAGTGTGCATGTTAATACGCTTTTAGCCCTCTTGCCACGTGTTACCCTGCATTGCCTTGAGACTTCGCAGAGAGTCCCCACCAAGAAGACCCTCACCAGATGCAACCCCCGACCTTGGACTTCCCAGTCTCCAAAACTGTAAGAAATAAATTTCTTTTCTTTATAAATTACCCAGTTTCAGGTATTCTGTTATCAGCAAGTAGTCTAATACAAATATATTAAAATATAGTTATCAAAATATTTTTTAAATATTTGCAATATAGTCATATATGCAGTTTGTTATTAACACATTAAATGACAAGATCCAGGGTCAGCCTAAAAATTACCATCATTTCAAAAAAACGAGCCTAAGTAAT